CTCGCGAGCTCCACGAGGCTCTCCCCCGGCACGTCCAGCCGCCTGCCGGGCCCAACGCGCCGGGGCGCTCCGCAGGCCTCGGGCCTGTCCGCCATGTTCAAAAGATACCCTAACATATAAAAAAATTGTAAAAAAACGCATCCAGACTATTATTTGACTACTTTTGAATATTCCTCCTGTAAGGGGACAGGCCCGATTTAAGCCGACTCTCTCGGACGCCCGATCGGTCTCGGCCCAACAGGGCGGCTCGCTCGCGAGGAGGCTGCCGCTGGCAGCGGCGACGCCGTTGTCGGCCGCGGCGTCGGGCCGAGGTCTGCTCGCGGTCCTCTGGTACGCCTCGATATATATATATATATATATAGATATCTACATATATACATATATATATGTATATATACAAATATATATATATAGAGAGAGAGAGAGAGAGACAGGGCAGAACATCCACACCGATAATACCACCCCGGCACGCGAAGCCGTTTAGTAAACGCACCCAAAGAAGGAATCGAACAGGGCAGGACTGTTCAGTAAACGCCCAGGGCCGGTTAGTAAACGCCAATTGTCCAGTCTGGGTGGTTTTTCCTCTCTTGAATATACTCAGCCGAACACATGAAGTTTCGTGAGACGAACCTGGGCCAAGGTGTTCGTGCTAACGCTGGAGGGGCGAACGCGCTCAAGAAACTGGGCCAATGTTCGGACAGGTTGGTTGAAAAACGCTGGCCCAGCTATCCAGGAGGAGGGTTCTCAATCGGATGCTCGACTGTACATATACAAAGACGCCCTCCAAAGAACTTGACAACTACGAACTTGACACGTACCTTCAGGCAGGGGGCGGTGTAGAAAGTCGCTAGCTCCCGGGGGTGTTTTATACACCGCCACCCTCTACTGAGGCCGAGGAACAATCCAGGGAAGGGCGCCCGTGTATATATTTTTTTGTGGCGGATCTGAGCCTCCTTCTCTGTCAGGGGGACGTAAGACCTGGGTACAGGGGACTCGGAAATCCCCGACGAGGTCGTCAAAAAATGACGAGGCCGAGCCTGCATTTTGACGAGGCCTCCCGCTGCAGACATCCCACGAAACTCCTCCTCGTCAAAATCCGAGGCGCGGTCGTCAAAAAACGATGGCGAACCCGAGTCCTGGCAAACCCGGGTCTTACGCTCCCCCGACTCTGGTCGGTCATCCTCGGAGCATGTGTGAGCGCCAGCGTGTGCTTGTCCACAGAGGCCCTTCGACGCGATGCGGGCGGAGCAGCGTGGGCCAGACGCAGACCCCGACGTCAAGTGGTTTGCACAACATCGGCCCCAAGTGGTCTCGGCCCATTGACCAGGAAAGCTTTCATCGGGTCGGGCGAAAGGGGGGATAGCAAAGGGGGGGGTTGAGAATCAGCTCACGTAGCTGATATTCCCGGCGCCTCCCGGCGCCTGGAGGCGGCGATGTATCGAGGAGTGGGCCCCCTCGGTGGGGCCGAAACCAGCTGCATGCAGCAGATTTCTTAACCCCCCCTTTCCCAATCCCCCCCTTTCGCCCGGCCCGATTCCATCCCGAGTCGCTGTTGTTTCTGTCCCGGAGGCCGGTACAGTCAAACAAAAACCCTCTAATAAGGACGCGCGGTAAGGACGCAAGACCCTTGTAAGCCGAAGTTGGGATTGTCGGGGCGGCGGACGACGAGAACCCTAAGACGAAACCAAGGAAGGACGGAGACGCAAGAGCAAGGAAGAGCAAGGACGCAAGGGTACCCTGAGCAAAGTCGCGCGTCCTTATTCGGGTTTTTGTCTGTAGGGGCCCCCAGAAGCTCGAAATACCCAAAAGCCCTCCCGTCCTTTTTGTTGCTCAAGACGCGCCGGGGGTCTCGGGAATATAAGATGCGCGCTTTCGGCGCGGAGCCGAGGTGGGTAAAGACACGCTGTGGGCAAACGCACGTCCTCACGTTCATCGACTGGGGCCTCCGGGGGCCCCCCGGGAGGCATACGGGGAGCTCTGCACAGGCCTCTGGAGGCCCTCGGAAGAGGGTCTCGGGAGAATAAGATGCGCGCTTCCGTCGGAGCCGAAGTGGGCAAAGACACGCTGCGAGCTAACGCACGTCCTCACGATCATCGACTGGGGCCTCCGGGGGCCCCCCGGGAGGCCTACGGGGAGCTCTGCGCAGGCCTCTGGAGGCCCTCGGAGGCCGCCGTGGCACAGTTCCACAAAGAGACGCACACGGCACACGCCAGCGCACCCAACCACGCAGAGCTGATATATCAACGCACTTCCATGCGACCCGTCGATGCGATTACAGTCGAGGCGTTGACCTGAGGAACCCTAAATAAGGAACGAGGCCCCTTTTTTCCATAAGTTCAACTTCGACTTCCCATCGAAACCGTAAGGAAAACCTTAGGCAAGGTGTGGAGCAATTAAGGAACACCGAGCCCCTCCCCAACGAAAAGCGTTCTTTCTTCAAGGCCCCGACTGTAAGCCCTCGAGAAGCAGGCTCACAGGCAGAACAAAACAAAAACTCGAAGGCCGCCGCCCACCGTCGACCTCGGGCCGAGGTCGTTGGGTCCTTCGTGGGCCTCCATAGACCGCTAGGGGCCTCCAGGGAGGCTTAAGTTGCAGATCTTCAGGGGGGGGCCCTCGGACCCGTGGTGGTGGCCGTCGTCGCCAACGCCGTCGTCGTGTCGCCGTCGTCTGCCTCCTCATCGTCCCCCGTCCTCCTCCCTTCTCGCACTCCTCCCTGCTGGCCCCCCTCTTCCCACATCCGTCCCGCCCCCCCTCCTCCCCTTCGCCCCCTTCTCTCCTGGTCTCTCTGGCGCCTCCCGGCGCCAGAGGCGCCGACGCATCAGGAACCGAAACAAGCTGCACGCAGTACACTTCCCACTGCCCATGTTGCTCCCATCGCCCTTGAGAACCACATCCCAGAAATTCGCCGGCCCAACGGGCCAGAGGCGTGCTAAGATCTCCGGTAACTGCTAAATGATACTTCTACTTCGCGCGCGCGGGGCGGCCCCTGGGGGTCCCCGGACGAAAAGTACCCCGGCAGGGTCGGGTCAGAGATGGTTTTCCTCCTGGGCGCCGCCCCCGTGGCCCTCCAGAGAGCCCCAAGAAGGGCCACGAGGCCGCCAAGAGCCCTCCAAGATGGTTCAAGAGTGCTCCGAGATGCCACACGATCGTTCCAAGACGCCCAACATGGCCCCCAGACGCCCCAAGAGGCCTCCAAGAGCACTCCCCAGAGGGCCCCAAGAGGCAAAATTCCTTACTTTTCTTCAGGTTTTGGGCAGATTTTGGCGTGTCCATCTTTTCGGCTTCCCGACGCCCCAAGACGGCCCAAGAGGCCCCCAAGATCGCCCCAAGAGGGCCCAAGAAGCTCCCAAGAAGGCCCCAAGATGGCCCAAGAGGGCTCCAAGACGGCCCCAGAGGCATCCAAGACGGCCCAAGAGGGGCCCAAGAGGGCCCCAAGCGATGCCCCAAAGGGGGAACACAAAACAAAACTTCGAGCCCTCGGCCTTAAGAAGCCCCCAGGAGGCCTCAAGAGGCCCCTGAGAGGCCCCAAAAGCCCCCAAGAGGCCCTCAGGAGGCCCCCAAGCGACGCTGAAGAGGCCCCCCAGCGGCCCCAAGAGGCTCAGTCATGCGAAATGGGCCGGCGGAATGAGCGAAGCGATTCAATAATTTCGAGCACCCAGAAAAGTGCCGAATCAGTGTCGAACGAGTATCGCCTCCCAGGGCCCGACACGTGAAAACCCCAAATTTCGGTATTTGCTTGGTGCTCGAAATTCTGTCTGGTGATCAAGGCTAAAGTAGGTAGGAACATCGTAACCCACTGCACCCTTTCCCCATCCCCACCCCCTAAGACGAAGCTAGGACGAGGATAAATTCGGGTGAGGATGAATCGGGGATCTCTGAGATCCTGCGATTCGCTGGAGGCTGTCTCGGGTGCCGCGGCCTTCTCATAGCGTCCGAGAACGCTCTGAGAGCGTTTCTGGAACTCTCTGGAACAGATTGATCATCGCCCTAGCCCCACCCGACATCCCCCCCCTTCCGTCTCCTCCAACGAAGCACTTGTCTCGCGACGTCGGTTCCCAGGGATCTCGACCCCTTCCCAAGGATCGACTTTTCGTCCCGAGCCGTTCCCTGCAGGTCCTGGGGCCAGGAAGCGGCCTCGAGAGGCCGAACACTGAAAAAAGCGCGCGTCGCTGGCACGTTACATCGCCCGGATCTGAAGGCTTCGCCCGACCCCCAGACATCCGACGATCTTGGGCGCCCGAGCTGTCCGGGGTAACTCAGGTCCGGGGTAACTCGGGTTTGGATTCCCGAAAAAGGAACCCGAGTTAGCCCTGACCCGAGTTACCCCTGATGATGTGGGGCTCTGGACGCCCGAGTTATCCGGGGTAACTCGGGTCCGGGGTAACTCGGGTTTGGATTCCCGAAAAACGAGCCCGAGTTATCCCTGACCCGAATTACCCCTGATGATTCGGGGCTCTGACGATCTGTTTTTTCCCATGCGCGGCACCGTACTCCCCGACTCGCTCCCCACGGCTATCTGCTGCGACCCGGCTCCAGCCTTGAGGGCTCCGGGCCCGAGGACGGCCACCGGGGGCCGAAACCCGTCGGATGGAGAAACTGGACCGACCGTCCCGGCATTCCTATAGTCCTACCACGAAATGTTCTTAGAACCCCCAAAATGTTCTAAGGGCAAAAACAGTGTTCTGAGAACATGAGCCCGATGTGCTAAAACAAGACAGCCCAAAGGAGTTCTTAGAACACTGTCTGGCAGGACTATAGGCGCGCCAGGGCGCTTCGCCACTGCTTGAAACCCATACGTCGTCGGAGATCCGGGCCCGGCGATCGCGGCCGCGGGGCGCAGCCGCCTCAGGTCCCGCGCGTCCTCCGCCGGGGCCGGGGCGAAGAGCGCGCGGGCCCTCGCGAGCTCCGCCGCCTCGTCCTGGGCGCCGTCCTGGCGGGCGGCTTGGCCCCCTCCCCGTGCGCGGGGGTCGCCGCCGCCGCCGGCCGTCGGCCGGGTGGCCGCGGCAACCTCAGGCGACCGACTATGGCCCCCCCCCTCCGGCGCGCCTGGCCATGCGGCGACGAGGCATCGCTCGATGCAGAAGTGCCCCCGCCTTCCCCGCGCCGCGGCAGCGAGGGCGCGCTCGTACCGGGGCGCCACGAAGGCGGGGTGGGTCTCCAAGCAGTGCTTGCGCGGAGGGTTGCTGCCTTCTGCTCGGAAGAGCTGGGCCGCGTGGGCGGTCTGGACGCCAGGTTCCCGCCGTCGCCGCCCCGTCGCCGCCTCGTCGCCGCCCGTCGCCTGGGCTCCCGGGTCGGCCTGGGGGCCATGTTCTCGTCGCCGCCGCCCCGTCGACGCGTCGTCCTCGCCCGCCACCTAGATTGCGTGTATACTGTAGGGAACCACTGTGTGGGGTCCTGGGCAACTTTGCTTGCGCCGTCGGCGCGGCCTCCCTCGCGACTTCCTATGGCGCCCCGCGGTCTCCCTCTCCTCCGTCCTCCTGCCCCCTGCGGTGTCCTGGCGCTCCCGTGCCGACCCCGGGGATTGCCTGACCTCCTCCTGCTGCCCCTGCTGCCGCTGCTCCCACCTTGACTTCCCTCTCTGGCCTGACTTCTGCGAGGGGCGGCATCGCGCTCGGCCATCGAGGGGTCAGGAGGGGTGGCGACCCCTGGGCACGCGGCATGTCCGAAGGCTCCTGCGGCCCTTCCCCGCAGAGAGCCCGCGAGTACCAGCGCGAATCCCCACGTTGTATATCCATAGCTGCCAGCGGATGCTGTTGGGCTGGCGGCCTCTTTGTCTGAGATGGACAACGTCCGCGGCGGCACCGACAACGAGCCATGCTCACCAGGAAAAGGAACTGCTCAGTGTTCGCCCCCGGTCTCTGCTTCTGTTCGCGACGCCAGCGCTCAACATTTGGACCACGCCTTCGGGCCAAGATTTTCACCCTGGCCTGCTTTTGACGTCCCAGGGGCTGGGGAACGTCCTCCCAGGGCAGAACACAAGGATTGGGTCGGGCATGTCCTCCTACGGAGGGATTTTGGAGGACAGCAGAAAGCATACAAAATTATTAAAAACAAATCGTCCCCAGACTGTTCTACTATTCTCGAAGCTTCCTAAACTGAACATTCTCGAATAGAGGGACATGCCCGACTTAACGCTAAGAAAACCTGGCCGTCGCGATTGTTGCCTGCGCCGCCCGCATCTGAGGGCCTCCGCGTCCACGTCGACCACACCGCCCCCGATGCCTCGGCGAGGCATCTTCGACGTCGGGCGACGCATTGGCACGGTCGGTGGGGAAAGACCGTGGTCCATACCCGGCCGCGAGGCCGACGAATCGGCGGTGCATCGGGATCACCAGACCCCTCCAAACCCCGACCCGATCTGGGAGGACTGGAGATCTGCCCGTGCCCATTCTTCAAAACAGCAACAACAACCAACAACAACAACCAACAACAACAACACCTATCATTGTAAGACTTTTCGCTCCTACCTTCTCACGTTCTAATCAATACGTACATCCCAAACCCTCGGTACACGCCCTCGTCGTCTTCGATCGTACCCACTTGGAGCTATATCTTCCTCACCTGCCACATGCATTTAGTGCAGCCCCTAAAACAAGGGCGAAGAAGACAAGTGGAGGGGGGAGGGAAAAGAATGGAGCACGAGAGAAATTAGCAGGAGGGGGGGGGCAAGGAGTAGAACACAAGTGGTAGAACCAGACGGGCAGATCGGGTGGGCAGACCCATAGCGGGCAGGTCGGGATGGCGGGCCCAGCCGACCAGGTCCTGAATGAATCGCGGGAAGTATCGAGCAAGCGGGTTGCTGCAGCGTGGGTCCTGCATGAATCGCGAGGAAGTATCAAGCGACAGCGCGATTCCCAAGTAAACCGTGAGAAAAGCCAAAGCGAGAGCGTGATTCCTGAGCGCCGAGGGCGCATCGTCTGAATAAACTGCGAGGAAGTCCCACGCGAGAGCGCGATTCGCGTACAATTGTGAGGAAGTCCCGCGCGTGAGCGCGATTTGGGAATACATTGTGAGGAAATATCGGGCGGGAACCATTGCTGTAAATGTTAACCGGGGGCCAACGACACGTGTATTCCCCTGATGGAAAAAAACAGAGTGCGAGCCTCGGGAGAAGCACTTCAATTGAAAAATGCAACGGTCCCCGGAGGGGGGGTCCACAATAAGTATTCTTCAGCAGTGAGAGTCCAACAACAACAACGAGACGGTCTCAGCCAGAAATGTTCTGAGAACGTCTCGCGCCGTCCACAAGAGGTTCTTGGAACATCCTTTGGTGGGCCTACGACAGGTAAGCCACGGCGCTTCGCCATGTCCGACACAGCACATGAATGTACATGAACTTTTGGCGGCCCGCGCTGGTTTTAGGTCGGCGAGTACTCCTAGAGGGGGATTGTCGACGAAAAATGGAAAACTGTCAAACAATGTCCAAGAATGGTTCACAATTGCTCAACAAATTGTCCCCAGACTATTTGTTGTACTAGTTTTGAATATCTCTCCTGTAGAGGGACACGCCCGACGTAACACTGGTTCCTTGGATCGGCGCGGGACCCGGCTCGCTGGCACGCGGAGGGGGCGCCAGGGACGGCGCTGGAGGCGCCGCCTCGGGGCTCGGGCGCGCACTTCCGGGAAATCCGCGCGCGCCTCCGAGAGTTGATGCTCATGCCATCTGTTGCCCCTCGAGAGTTCTTATTCGGCCTTTCGGCATTGCGCGAAAGGGGTGGGGAGCCCTGACCTTCCAGGAGGGCTGAACAATAGCACCAGGGCGTCGACGTCCTAATTCCTGTCGAGGTATGAGGCAGTCCAGATAGATCTATAGGTCTGGAGTGTTATTTGTTAGCACGCTAGAAGGTCAGGGAGGGGGGTGTCTGGCTCTGGACATCTGTTTAGATCGACTGTTTGAAACCAGGCTTAGTCCACCAGGGGGTGGGTGGTAGGCGTGGCCACCGTGCTCACTCCACGTGCTTGAAGCAAGCGCCCAAAAACTGCCAAAATGGCCCGCGCCGATCGGCAAAACACTGGATAAGAAACAGATTACCCTCCGGCATTTGATGTTTACGTCATTTGTTGTTTCTCGACTTTCGGTCGTACCGACCCCGGTGTTTTTGTTTGAAAAGGCTGCGAGCCGCGTTTTCCTCGGCTGTTGCGGAGCCCGTGTGGAGGAAACACAGTCGGTGTATATATCGTGGTTGAGCCGACCCTGGTCCTGGGGCAAAACCTCCGCACCCGTTTCGGTCGTACCGACGGCTGCCGGCTGGCACTTGCTCGCGCATCTCTGCGGCCGCGCTGGCACGCAAAGGCTCGCGCGCAGGGCGACCAGCTGGGGTGGCACAACGGCCGTCATGGCGTGTACCGATGGGAGCTTCCGAGCGCATCTGAAATCGGGCGTCCAAGAGGGGGGTGCCCAAGAGCGGGGTCGCAAATCAGGGCTCGAGGCGAATGCGCGGCCCGGGGGGGGGGGGGGGCAGGGGAGCGCACTGAGACGAGAGGAGTAGGCGCCATGGGCTCTGGGGCTCCCCCCCCCCCCTAGTCCCCGCCCCCCCCCTTCCTGGCCGCCCCCGACCCAAAGGCCGCGCTGGCCTTTCGGTGGCTCGCCGGCTCGGGCGCCCGGTCCTGCGGCAGCAGCTCCTCCAGCGGCCGGTAGGGCGGCGGCGGCGGGAACCGCAGGCCGCCGCCGCGGACGGCCACGCGCCAGCCTTCGCGGCCGCAGACGGCCGGCAGGAGCGCCACCTCGCACCCCCCCCCCCGCTTCGGGGGGACGAGCGCGGACGAGCATCCGTCCCCCTCCTCCACCGCCCCTCCCTCCCCCTGCCGCCTCCTCCCCCTCCGCCTCCGCCTCCGCCTCCTCCTCCTCCTCCTCCTTTTCTCTCTCATCCTCCTCCTCGTCATCCTTCTCTTCTGATCCCCTCTAACTCCTCCTGCTCCTGATCCTCCTCCTCCTGCTGCTCCTCCGCCCTCTTCCTGTCCCCCTGCTTCGCCACCCGTCCTCCCGATTGTCCGTCCCTCTCTTCCGCCATGTCAGAACACATTGCCAGCAGCAACTGTGCATCCTAATTGGCATGCTGCCCGTGAGCTTACATTGTTCCTCCTCCCCATCATCCTCTCCCTCCTCCTGCCGCGTAGCCAAACTTCCTCTCCCTTCTCCTCCTCCTCCTCCTCCTCCTCCTCCTCCTGCTTCCTCCTCCTCCTCCTCCTCCTGCTCTCTCCTCCTCCTCCTCCTCATCCTGCTCCTGCTCCTGCTCCTCCTCGTCCCTGCTCCTCCTCCTGCTCCGCTCGCTCTCCTCCTTCCTCCTCCGTCCTCCTCCCTCCACCCGCCCTCGCGCGCCCCCGTCCTCGCCCTCGCAGCCCTCCCCCCTCTCCGTCTGCGGCTGCCGCTGCACCTCCGCCCACTCGAGGCCCCACAGGTTCGAGCCGCGGCGCGAGCCACAGTCGGAGCCACAGCCATCTGTGGCAAGTCGCGGGGGCCTCCCATGCCATCTTGTCGGCTCCTGCGAATCGACGCTATATATCGACGCTGGAAAGATACACCAGGCTCCCGTGACCTGCCGCCGAAGCAGCCCGAGCCGACAGCAGAGCTGCTGGAGGCCCGGGGATGAGCACCAAGGCCAACACAGGGGGTTGCCTCCACCGGGGGGCGAAGATGATCCATGTTGATGCTGGCGTTACACAGCTTGCGGCCGCCTGGGAAGCCCAATTATTGCCATCATCGTCCAGCTCGGGATCCTCTTTCGCCTACACGAAAGAATGACCCTGGGCAAGAGCGACCTTTGGTGCGCAGCTGAACGGTGGACGCGGGGTGGCCAAACCTCGGCGCGCAAACCGCTTCTTCGCGTTTAGCGATCGGGGAACCCCATTGGGCCCGCACCGAAAGCAACTCCGGCGAACAGGTCACTCTTACCTCTAGCCGGCACTTCAACCTCTAGGCCTCCGAAACCAGTCCATGCCACCGCGGATCGGAAAGATAACGAGCGGGAAGCGGCCGACGCAGCATATACGCATATATGTAGATTATCTTCCTATATTTTTATAAGCCCGGGCGGGGGGAAACCCGTCCCCCCCCCCCCAAAAAAAAAACAGGACTCCCGGGATCTGGGGCTTGGAGACCCTCCAGACGGGCCTCGAAGCGGTCACCGGGCCTCACATGGCGTTGTGCCAAGCCTTCCCAGCACACCTAGGGCGATCAGGGGGGTCATCGGAGACGTCCCAGAGACCCCCAAGACAGCACAAGAGCGCTCCAAGAGTGACCGACGTGACCTCAAGATGGCCTAAGAGGCCTCCAGGACGGCCCCAAAGAGGCCTCCAAGAGCACTCCCAAGAAGGCCCCCCGAGGCAAAAATCATTGATTATCTGTGGGTTTTTGGTAAATTTTAGGGTTCTCCTCTTTTCGGCTTCCCGACGCTCCAAGACGGCGGTCTTCTGGGCGTCCGAAGCCGCCTGGGAGGCTCCCAAATCGCCCCACAACCATCCGAAAGGGCTTCCTGGCAGTCCAAGAGAGCCCCAAAACGGCACAACACGGGTCCAAGATGGCCCTCAGAGAGCCCCATGGCGGCCCAAGATGGCCCAAAGACACCCTCCGAAGAATTCTAAATCGTGATTCGGTCGTTCAGGGAGACCGCGGTTGGAGGCACGGTGGCCAGAGGAAGCCCCCGGAGGCCCCCAGAATACACCCAAGAGGTCTCCAAGGCCTTACGAAAGCCTCAACAAATTTTGTGAGGCCCCTAGAGGCTCTCCAAGGAGGAGCCTCCGCAAAAAAGAGCTGAGGAGGATGGGGAGAATGCGCAGGGCATGGCGAAAATAAGGAACAATAAGCATGGAGGAAGGATAAAGAAAAACATTATTATAGCGGCGATGCTAGAAAAGGCAACCAGGAGTTATCGCTAAATTGTCGGCTTGACCTTCCTGCTATTCCGCCTGCATGCCAAACTTCAAGGACCAAGGTGCATGGCGCGAAGCGCCACTGCAGTCTTGTATTCCTCTTCCTATGTTTTTATAAGCCCGGGCGGGGGGAAAACCCGTCCCCTCCCCCCCAAAACCGCACTCCCGGGACCTGGGGCTTTAGGGTCCTCCGCATGGGCCTCGAAGCGGCCACCGGGCCTCGCAAGGCGTTTTGCCAAGCCTTCCCAGCACACTTAGGGCGATCAGAGGGGGTCATCGGAGACGTCCCAGAGACCCCCAAGACAGCACAAAAGCGCTCCAAGAGTGACCGACGTGACCTCAAGATGGCCCAAGAGGCCTCCAGGACGGCCCCAAAGAGGCCTCCAAGAGCACTCCCAAGAAGGCCCCCCGAGGCAAAAATCATTGATCATCTGTGGGTTTTTGGTGAATTTTGGGGTTCTCCTCTTTTCGGCTTCCCGACGCTCCAAGACGGCGGTCCTCTGGGCGTCCGAAGCCGCCTGGGAGGCTCCCAAATCGCCCCACAACCATCCGAAAGGGCTTCCTGGCAGTCCAAGAGAGCCCCAAAACGGCACATCACGGGTCCAAGATGGCCCTCAGAGAGCCCCATGGCGGCCCAAGATGGCCCAAAGACACCCTCCGAAGAATTCCAAATCGTGATTCGGTCGTTCAGGGAGACGGCGGTTGGAAGCAGGGTGGCCCGAGCCGGAGGCCCCCAGAATACGCCCAGGAGGCCTCCAGAAGGCCAAAAGAAAGCCCGAAACAACTTTTGTGAGGCCCCTAGACGCGCTCCAAGGAGGAGCCTCCGCAAAAAAGAGCTGAGGAGGATGGGGAGAATGCGCAGGGCATGGCGAAAATAAGGAACAATAAGCATGGAGGAAGGATAAAGAAACACATCATTATAGCGGCGATGCCGGAAAAGGCAACCAGGAGTTATCGCTAAATTGTCGGCTTGACCTCCCTGCCATTCCGCCTGCATTCCAAACTTCAAGGACCAAGGTGCATGGCGCGAAGCGCCACTGCAGTCTTGTGTGTATACATATATATATATATATATATAAATAAATATCGCACCGCACCGGTTGCATCATATAGCAGGCGCCATGCTTCCTGCACCACGCAGCTTACGCAGCACAGCTTGTATGACATCACTGACGCCGCACACGTATGTGTAGGTAGATACTTACATACATACATCCATACATACATCCATCCATACATACATACATATATGTATACATACATATATAGATATATATACATATACATGTATGTATAGATGTGTGTTGCGCCACATAGCTGACACCCGGTAGCTCGCACCATATAGCTGTCATATGCACAATGCAAGAATTAACGCGCTGCTCGGGGTCACTGCTGACAACCATCGCAATAACGATACCAGCTTCGTCGATACGCGGCGAGACATGAACATTTTCCGAAAGCTCGCTCCGGGTAAGCATTCGCAAAGGATGGGACCTTCGAGCGGCAACATGCCCGAGCGGGAACGGGAGGGGGCGTTGCGACGTCTGGCTGCCCGGGCGATAGGAACACGAAAGGAGAGACGCGGAGGAAGAGGAGAGGCTGCGAACGAAGAGGAACAGGGAGCCAGATCAGGAGAACAGCGGGACGACTGTGTGGGCAGGGCGCAAATCTCGGAGTCCTGCGGATCATATCGCTTATTTGACAGGCGACGCTGCAACCTGGATCTGTGCCGCGGTACTTTTCCAGCCCTTGATCGTGTCGCCCGACCACCCCACCAGCTTGTCCATGTACTCCGTGAGCTCGTCCCAGGTCATCACGCCAGGTGTGGAGTCTGGCGTCACGAAGTCGGGGCAGTTGCACTTGGGGTAAGCACCCACCTCGTGGCACATCTTGTCGCACTCCTTGGCCAGCATGTTCTGCAAAAACACGCGGTGCTGCTTGTCCATGGCGGTGCAGCTCTGGTGCGAGGTCTGCAATTCGGAAGCCACTGTCTTCCAGCCTTTGATCGTGTCGCCCGACCACCCCACCAGCTTGTCCATGTACTCCGTGAGCTCGTCCCAGGTCATCACGCCAGGTGTGGAGTCTGGCGCCACGAACTCGGGGCAATTGCACTTGGGGTAAGCACCCACCTCGTGGCACATCTTGTCGCACTCCTTGGCCAATTTGTTCTGCAAGAAGACCCGCACCATCCTGTCCTTGGCCTCACAGCTCTTCTCCGCGTTGGAGGACGACTCCTCGACCTGGATCTCTGCTGCTTTACTCTTCCAGCCCTTGATCGTGTCGCCCGACCACCCCACCAGCTTGTCCATGTACTCCGTGAGCTCGTCCCAGGTCATCACGCCAGGTGTGGAGTCTGGCGTCACGAAGTCGGGGCAGTTGCACTTGGGGTAAGCACCCACCTCGTGGCACATCTTGTCGCACTCCTTGGCCAGCATGTTCTGCAAAAACACGCGGTGCTGCTTGTCCATGGCGGTGCAGCTCTGGTGCGAGGTCTGCAATTCGGAAGCCACTGTCTTCCAGCCTTTGATCGTGTCGCCCGACCACCCCACCAGCTTGTCCATGTACTCCGTGAGCTCGTCCCAGGTCATCACGCCAGGTGTGGAGTCTGGCGCCACGAACTCGGGGCAATTGCACTTGGGGTAAGCACCCACCTCGTGGCACATCTTGTCGCACTCCTTGGCCAACTTGTTCTGCAAGAAGACCCGCACCATCCTGTCCTTCGCCTCGCAGCTCTTCTCCGCGTTGGAGGACGACTCCTCGACCTGGATCTCTGCTGCTTTACTCTTCCAGCCCTTGATCGTGTCGCCCGACCACCCCACCAACTTGTCCATGTACTCCGTGAGCTCGTCCCAGGTCATCACGCCAGGTGTGGAGTCTGGCGTCACGAAGTCGGGGCAGTTGCACTTGGGGTAAGCACCCACCTCGTGGCACATCTTGTCGCACTCCTTGGCCAGCATGTTCTGCAAAAACACGCGGTGCTGCTTGTCCATGGCGGTGCAACTCTGGTGCGAGGTCTGCAATTCGGAAGCCACTGTCTTCCAACCTTTGATCGTGTCACCCGACCACCCCACCAGCTTGTCCATGTACTCCGTGAGCTCGTCCCAGGTCATCACGCCAGGTGTGGAGTCTGGCGTCACGAAGTCGGGGCAGTTGCACTTGGGGTAAGCACCCACCTCGTGGCACATCTTGTCGCACTCCTTGGCAAGTTTGTTCTGCAAGAAGACCCGCACCATCCTGTCCTTGGCCTCACAGCTCTTCTCCGCGTTGGAGGACGACTCCTCGACCTGGATCTCTGCTGCTTTACTCTTCCAGCCCTTGATCGTGTCGCCCGACCACCCCACCAGCTTGTCCATGTACTCCGTGAGCTCGTCCCAGGTCATCACGCCAGGTGTGGAGTCTGGCGTCACGAAGTCGGGGCAGTTGCACTTGGGGTAAGCACCCACCTCGTGGCACATCTTGTCGCACTCCTTGGCAAGTTGTTCTGCAGCGGAGGTGCTCGTTGGCCTGATGACGCAGATTCAGCCGAGATGCAATGACTGTGTGAACGAGCAGTGCCACGAACACAGCTGCTAGCTTCATTGGTTGATACCCCTAGTTGAAAGCAAGGTTATCTGCTGTCAGATTGCAACTGGCTTGAGCCAGATCCGCTGTCCTTCCGCTACTACCCAATGGCGACTATGCAGCTGAAAAGCAGTCGCACAACATTCGCCTCCGGCCTTTAGTCGGGATCCCTCTACAGGGGGAATGCTCAAAAATAGTAAACAGTGACGATTTTTATACTATTTTTCATATTTTGGGGGCACTTGTTTTGTATTTTCCATTTTTCGCTCAAAATCCCCCTGTAGGAGAACACGCCCGACTGAACTCCAGACCAGCTTGGGCCCACCGACGCATGAAAGGACGCACCCACGTCCACAATACGAGACAGAGCAGGACGCTCGGACAGACGTGGCTCGTTTACGACGTCCCAGACCGACAACGTGTTTTCAGATCTTGGGAGGGGGGAGGAGGCGTGTTTTTTATTGCCGCCGGCTTCTGCTGAGCTTCCGGTTTGTTGCTCACGCTACACCCTCGGATAATCACTCGGACGTCTTGCGGCAGGTCCAATTTTTTATATAAAAAAGACCGACATCTCGGCGCAGCACAGATCCAAGAGTCCTGGACTTGAACTAAGGCCTAAAACAAACGCGGAGGACAACGATAATTGAACATGACAACGAGAACGGTCACAACGACAACGACCACAACGACAACGATCGCTATCGTTGATTGTTGCAATCGAACCGTTGTCGTTGATCGTTGTCGCTGTCAGTGTGAGTGTGTGTGTGTATCGTTTATCCGATCCCTATCCCCAGTGGCGTGGCCTGGGCCCCACTGGCCTACTTACCCCCCTAGATGGGGATGCAGGCCGCTCCCTTCGGGCTTCGAGGGGTGCATCCCCAACTGGGGGGGGGTAATTTGGTAGGGGTCTCGAACTCGCCGCCGCTCGGACGTCCATTCTCCGTGCATTTTTCTGCCTCGTGCGCGTTGTTTTCCCAACCCTCCTGCGTTGGGTTCTCGTTTTGAATAGAGCACTGCTCGCGCGTCTTCTTTCCACCGCGTCTCCTTCCCACCGTCTCCTTCCCACCCCCTCCCGTCCCTCTCTTCCCCCCTGCCTTTGACCTCGCCATCCCTGGGGGGCTGCGATCTGTGAAACCGTCGCCACTTTCGAGGCCTGCTGGGGGGCCCAGCACAGTGGGTTAACACCGCAGACTCAAAATAGACCTCGCCATCCCTGGGGGGCTGCGATCTGTGAAACTGCCGCCACTTTCGACGCCTGCTGGGGGGCCCAGCACAGTGGGTACACACCGCAGACTCAAAATAGACCTCGCCATCCCTGGGGGGCTGCGATCTGTGAAGCCGTCGCCACTTTCGAGGGCTGGTGGGGGGCCCAGCACAGTGGGTACACACCGCAGACTCAAAATAGACCTCGCCATCCCTGGGGGGCTGCGATCTGTGAAACGGTCGCCACTTTCGAGGCCGGCTGGGGGGCCCAGTTCAGTGGGTACACACCGCAGACTCAAATTTGACCTCGCCATCCCTGAGGGGCTGCGATCTGTGAAACTGCCGCCACGTTCGAGGCTTGCTGGGGGCCCAGCACAGTGGGTACCACCGCAGACTCAAATTAGACCTCGCCATCCCTGGGGGGCTGCGATCCGTGGAACTGCCGCCACGTTCGAAGCCTGCTGGGGGGCCCAGCACAGTGGGTACACACCGCAGACTCAAAGTAGACCTCGCCATCCCTGGGGGGCTGCGATCTGTGAAACCGTCGCCACTTTCGAGGCCTGCTGGGGGCCCCCCCACAGTGGGTACCCACCGCAGACTCAAACTAGACCTCGCCATCCCTGGGGGGCTGCGATCTGTGAAACGGTCGCCACTTTCGAGGCCTGCTGGGGGGCCCAGTTCAGTGGGTACACACCGCAGACTCAAATTTGACCTCGCCATCCCTGGGGGGCTGCTATCTGTGAAACTGTCGCCACTTTCGAGGCCTGCTGGGGGGGCCAGCACAGTGGGTACACACCGCAGACTCAAAATAGACCTCGCCATCCCTGGGGGGCTGCGATCTGTGAAACCGTCGCCACGTTCGAGGCCTGCTGGGGGGCCAAGCACAGTGGGTACACACCGCAGACTCAAATTAAACCTCGCCATCCCTGGGGGGCTGCGATCTGTTGAACTGTCGCCACTTTCGAGTGCTGCTGAGGGGCACAGCACAGTGGGTACCCACCGCAGCCTCAAATTAGACGCCACTTTCGTCCTTGTTCTCCTCCTGTAATCACCTTCCCTCTGCTGCTGCCGTGCTGATGGTTCGGTTTCCCGCACGTTTTTCTCCTGCTCTGCGTTCCCGACTCCCCATGTCCTCTTCGAGCCTGTAGCTGTCACCCCTCGTTCTTGTATGGTTTTCCTGCGCATCATGCCATAGGCGCGTGTCCCAAGTAGCTTACACATCAAGTTAATTGTCCATGCAAGTTTCGGCCAACTCCTCGTTTCCATTGGTGCAAATGGGTCGGGTACGTCACAGGGTAATGTTTGGCCCGATGGTCGAGTATGCTCCTAAATGGCCCTCGCCGAGAATAAACGAACACGTCCGAGCGATGCCAAGCGAAGGGGATCAACAGAGGATGTGTCGACCCTATCCCAGGCTTCGTGGAATTTTCAAACGGGCAAAATTTTGGTGCCCAACCCTACGATATACGATGGGGGGCGTCCATCCTCGATAGGAATGCGTCCGAATAGACCCCGTGGGGTGTATCCCCGGGCTTCCCACTCTTCCTGAGGTGCCAATCTCTTCGGGCGGGGCTCGGGGATTGAGGGAGGAAAATCACATGCGAGGGATGGGGATGGGGAGGCAAGCGCAGGAAGGGAGGAGGAGGAGGAGCAGGATTGTTTGATTTTTTGATTTGCGCGCGGGTGATCGTCTGCCGAACACTCCTGCCCGTGGCGCCGAAACGACGAGCGAGGGGCCCGAAGAGGGGCCGAAAGAAGCGAGGGACGGACCAGGACCCAAACAGAGCCGAGCGAGGGACCGACCCGAAACAAACAAGGACGACGAAAACTCGAAGGCCCGAGACAAACGGTGCTGGCAAGAGTGGCGACAAAGTTTGGAGCCCGCGTCCTGGCTCCTGGGCTTCCAGCCTAAACCTATGGCCAGGCAGCAGCATACAGAAACGAAAAGGCAGCACGGCGGCGGAGAGCCCTTCCTCTCTTCGCGAGCCTGGGCTGGGGGGAGATAAAAGGAGCACCGGAGAGGATGAGTGGGCGCAGGCGGAACGGGCGCCTGCTTCTCAGCGCCCCTGTATCCACTCATCCTCGGCCTAGCCTACGAGCCCTGACGCATCGGCACAGGACACTTCAGAGAGAGCAAAGCTAGAGAGGCGTGCAAGGATATCGCCCCACGCAGCAGGCGGAGCAAGAGACATTCTCTCTGCTTCTCCTTGCGAGCCTGGGCGGGGGAAACGAAAAAGCCAGCGCGCAAGGAGGATGGGTGGGCGCAGGCGGAACGGGTGCCTGCTTCTCAGCGCCTCTGTACCCACTCATCCTCGGCCTACACTCGATCCTGACGTGTCTGCCAGGGGCATTTCGACTGTGCGACTGTCAGAAAAGCATTGCATAGACTTGAGAAGCACGCACTGGTCCCCGCGCGGCAGGCGGGCAAGAGTCTTTCTCTCTTTGCGAGCCTGGCCGGGGGGAGGCATGGCACAAGCACAGACGGGGATAAGTGGGCGCAGGCGGAACGGGTGCCTGCTTCTCAGCGCCTCTGTACCCACTTATCCCAAGCCTACCCTACTTCCTGGACCTGTCCACTGGTGCGGCCAGGAAGGAGAATACTGCAGAACAACACTTCTGGCGGCTGGTGTCGGGGATCCGAGTAGTCCTGCCAGCATCAGACAGACGAGACAGACCAGATATCCCAGGATACATCCACCCACACCTCCGAAGTATACCACGAGAAATCTACGGAGCCTCTAAAAGCCATGCAGGGTCAAACAGTGCCTGGAATTTAAAGACATCATGAGGGGCAGGAAAGGCATATATAACGTTGACATTGTCAACGGCAGTGACCTCACCGACTGGTTGATCAGTGCAGGGGGTCACGACCATCACGCATGCGGCGAAGCCGTGAGATGGTGCCAGAGGCCCGAGGAGGGCCAGTGCAAGATTTAGTTTAATCAACTGCCTTCTTACACGAGTAGCGGCCACAGCGGCGACAAAAGATGATATTATTTAGCCGCCTGAGAACGTGCCCACCGCCAGTGGGAGAAGAGCACTGAGATCGCAATATGTAGCTCTTGGAGACCGAGCTAGCCCAACAATTCACGCATCGAAAGCGGCCCGCTGAAGGGTCCCAGAAGTGCTCATGCAAGGCCCCAGAGGAGGCACCAGAGAGGACTAGGGATGGAGCCGAGGGGGCGGGAATCTCATCAGAATCCGCCGCCCAAGCCTTTTTGGGCACATTTTTAAATATCCAAGCTATACAATGGCCAATATACACACCAATATTGCGCACCAGCAACCCAGAGCGCTTGATTCGGTCGTGCAGGACCGTATCCAGAGTGTGGAGGTCTGCACCTAGGTTAGCAAGTCTGTCGGCTTGCTTATTGCCCGCAGAGGTGGAGTGGCCACGGACCTTGGTGACCTTAATTAGGTGATACCCGATATCTGAAGC